GGGGGGGGGAGGGGAAGGAAATCAAAGGTATCTCTTCCATCGAGTCAGGAAAGCCAGGAAAATGCAGCACCTCCAGAGCTCAAAGGAAAACCAGACATGCATGCTATTAAACTGACTCCCCAATCCCTCAATACAAAACGACTGGGAAAAAAGCCGCCACAGAGCAGCGTACTTTCCATTCCCAACGCTACCGCATCTCACCCGCTCCACAAACTCCTCCCTCAGGTCCCTCTGCTGCTGGCAAAGTCCAAACACTCCTGCCCAAAATTGCTGAGACCACTCCAGAGCCGCCGCCCACCGCAGGAACACCAGAGCGCTGAGCCCAGTGCAGCCCATGAGCAGAAGGAGCTCCCTGGGCACGGCCTGGGGCTCATCTACCCCAGGCCCCGCACAGCACCCGCCCACAGTCCCCTCCAAAGGGCAGCTGCAAGGACCTGAAGGAATTGATGCCTCAAACATCCAGTGGCACAGAAAACCTCCGGGACAGGCTTGGGCCTTGGGGAGGACTCGCAGGAACGGCACCCCAAGAGACTCTCGGGAGGGGATCCAAGGACTCGCCCCCCACTCCCTTGCACTTGTCCTGACAAACTCCTGCCATCAGCCTCAGCTGGGGAAACCTGCACTGAGGGAAACCACATGTTCCTCATCAAGCACAAGAGCCACCAATCGCTGCCCGCAGGTGTCAGCCCAAACAGGTGACAAGGCCTGCTGAGAGCAGAGTGTTTCTGCCCCACAACCCCAATGATTTTCAGGGACAAAACCTCATTTTTTTGTATTCCAAGCCTTCATTTTCAGAATCCAGAGGTTTGATTCTACAGTTCACATGCTCCAAGCCCTCATCTTTAGAGGCCAAACCCTCCTTTCTACAGCAAAAACTCCATTACTGAGTGCAAAACCACCATTTTAGGGCACCAGGCTTTATTTGTCTGCTCCAAAACAGTTCAGATACTCAAAGCAGTCTCCAAGTGGGGAGGCACAAACCCTCTTCTACTATTGCTAGAGGAGAGAGCAGGCTGCCTGCACAAGCTTCCAACAGCATCATTTCCCCCTCTGCCTGCAAGTGGTAACTACTGCTTGCAATTCCAAAGCATTCCGGAGGGCCTCAGCGGGCTGGAAGGGAAGGGGTTGTGGGGAGGGACTCAAAGTTATCCCAAACTGTCATCAGCCTCTTTGGCAGTCATGCAGTTACCCCAAAAGGAGCTGGAAAAGACACTGGCAAAACTCTTGCTGTTCCAAAGTACAGAGGTTCGCATCCTGAAAATGGCTGGAGACAGACATCTCACTCCAGGAGTTCCTCAAGTGTCATTGCAAAACCAGGATAAAAAGGTTGGGAACAGAGACAGAGGTTATGATCAGGTCAAAACTCCTGCTTGTTTCAGTCTCCTTGGAAACTCAGGGCTCACTGTGAGAAATTTTTCTCATTCCCAAAGAAGAGAAATCAGGCCCCAAACCCTCATGACAATACATTTCATAGCAAGAACACAAATAGCAAAGATCCTCAGTGAGCCACATCAGCTTTGAAAAGTGTGGAGTTGGTGTTCCTGACGCTCGTTAGGAAAACTACACAAACCTTCACACCCATCATGTTTAACTATTACTAAAATGAAAAGATTTACTGACCCCACAGCCCCCAAATACTTCTTGATGATGGAGGAGAGGTTCTCAGCGCACAAGGACTCACAAAGATTTATGCACTTTCTTTGTTTGGCCATCTTGACATTGCCTCTTCCCAGTGGCTATCCTCCTTCTTCTAAGAGAAAACACAGCATGAGAGGGAAAAGAATAAATACCTATAGAAAAGTAGAAATGTGTATATAGACACTATTAAAAAAGGCTGTAGAAATGTCATCTTCACCCCACTTTGCAACTAGCTCACATTCTGAGAATATCAGCTGGGGTTTTTAAAAAGTCCACATCAAAAGTTCTCTTCCTTTGTTTGTTTGGGGTTTTTGTTTTTAATAAAAATAAAACTAAGACAATACTTTTAGAAAACTTTTCCTTGGGCTATTGCAGAAAGCTATACCACACGGATGCTTTAAAATTTCACCCCTAGTTTTCACCGTTTCTGTAGCTGTAGCTTTACAAGCCCTCACAGGCTTCAAAATGATATGCAGAATAGATCAGGTTCAGTTTTGCATTCCTTAGAATTTACATCAGTTGAATGCGTTACTAGCAGCATGAATAGCACTAAGTGTGACATGAGGTTAAGTAGCCACAGATTAGAAGATGAAAAATACCCATCAATCTGGTGCGTTAATAGTTGGGGGTTTTTTTTCTTCAGTTTTGTTTTGGTTTTATCACAGTCGCCATAATCATCAAACAGTAATGTTTCTGTTGGTGCAAATGCCCTGCATTGAAATCTTTTGAGAAAAATCGGACTGATAAAAACTTACTCTTTGGAATCATGAAGTAAAATTCAATTCATTCCTGCTTCTTTTAAGAAACTGCACAGTAGAGATGGGAAATGAGTCTTGTTATTTACAAAGTTCTTGGTTGAGAACTAGACCATGTTTTTGCAGGTGCATCATACCATTCTGTAAACCAAAAAGGCATCGGTTGGGTTTATTTGCCTCACTTACAGCGTATTTTACCCTGTGGTCTCTGAACATCAGATTAGAAAGTCACTTTGTTCCAGGAGGAACTCCACGAGGTAACTATTGGCCACTGAGATTATTCATCACTCCAAATGGGGTTTTCTTATGATTCACTGTTCTCTGACAAACTGCTGCCTTAATTTATAGGTCATGGCTGTATACAAGCTCTTCAGCATTTTCTAAACTCATCATTGCTCAACAAAGGAGAGGAAATAGCGTTCCTTTATCAATGTAGGCACTTGATGTTCTCCTCAAAATAAAACACACAAAACAAAACTGTCTGTCCATACACACATAAGAGAATCACAGAATCCCAGAACCATCTGGGTTGGGAAAGCCCTTGCAGCTCCTCCAGCCCAACCATGACCCTCACCCTGACTTTTCCCAACTCCACCAGATCCCTCAGCGCTGGCTCAGCCCGACTCTTCAACCCCTCCAGGGATCCCGGGGACTCCCCCCCTGACCTGGGCAGCCCATCCCAACGCCCAACAGCCCCTTCTGCAAAGAAATACTTCCTCAGAGCCAGCCTGACCCTGCCCTGGGCAGCTTGAGGCCATTCCCTCGGGGCCTGGTGCTGGCTCCTTGGCTCCAGAGACTCATCCCCCCTCTCTGCACCCTCCTGGCAGGGAGTTGCAGAGGCCCAGGAGGTCTCCCCTCAGCCTCCTCTTCTCCAAACTGACACCCCCAGTTCCCCCAGCCGCTCCCCAGCAGACCTGTGCTCCAGACCCTGCACCAGCTCCGTTGCCCTTCTCTGGCCACGCTCGAGTCATTCAATTGCCTTTTTGGGGTGAGGGGCCCAAAACTGAACCCACTCACCGAGGGGCGGCCTCACCAGTGCTGAGCACAGGGGTGAGATATGGTAACTCCCAGTCTAGATTGCTCTTTGGCATGCAGCCTCGCTTACCTGGTTTATACAGAGTCTGTACAGAGAGGGCCTGTTACAGTTTGGTTTGGTCCTTGAAACACAGACTGACTTATCTTGTCTGTTTGGCCCGCAGACTCCCTTACCTTGTCTTTACAAAGTTTATACAATTATACAAAGGGGCTTGTTGTTTGTATACTAAATTGTTTACATTTTTGGTATCAGTGTGACAGCCAACACCCACCACTGTGGGGTCTCACTCCATAGAGGAGCAGCTCCCACATGACAAGTTTGTGCCAGGTGGGACTGCGGTCCCCACAGTACCACCATCAGGCTCCTGCTGCCACCTTCTGTGTCTGGGAGCTGGGGACTGTCCCCGCAGCAACGGGGCTGGGTTCAGTGATCTCAGGCACAGGGTGATGCTGTCGCCCGTTCTGCATGCTGACAGTGTTCATGGAGAAGCTGAGCTGTCAGTGGCAGGCTTGGCTTTTGGTTTATTTTATCTTCTCACTGAGCTTTGTGGTCTGGTTTCATCCCAGCGTGGTCTACGAGAGAAAGTTCATCTGATAACCTCAGCATTTCTCTGACCACACAGCGTACAAAAGTACAATGCTGTCCTCCAATGCTGCACAACACACAAAAATCAATAACAACATGCAGGCAGGAAGATAAACTCTGCTGTTTATTGCTGGGGGGGATCAGCCACAGTGAAGGCGAACCCCCTCGTGGTACGTTTCCCACCAGCCAGGGCAGCGGCAGCTCCTGCCTGCGGCAGCTCTGCGGGGCGCAGCGAGGCCACGGCATCTGCAATGGGATGGGAGAGGAGGGTCAGGGAGCAGGGCTGTGCCTCGCCGCCCCATCTGTGCCCCCCAGTCCTTCCCCCCCAGCCCTGTGCGAGCTTTCCAGAGACATTTTGCTGTGGGACAGGCCACCCTTTCACCTGGCCATTGCTGTTTCAGCACCAGCCACCCTGTGTCTTGTCAGGCATTGAGGGAAAGGGAGGCTCTGGGGACCCGCTCATCTCTGCGCAGCAGCAAGTTATAAAACAGCACGCCCAGTTTACCAGAATATGCCCAGCTCCTTCCTCCGGTTGATGTCTCTCTTCAGCTGGCAGAGCGCACACATGGGGCAGCACGCAGCGGAGATAAAGTCACCCAGAATGGAGCCCTGCCAAGCATGGGATGTTGTATGAATAACCCCTTCCCACATCAACTTTTAAGTCTTCCTCTTTTTCATTGTCAACATCCCTGGGCAGCTCACCCCTGGGCCCCCGGCACATTGCTGCTCATGCCCAGCGAGGACTGGGACGAGGCGGCATGCGGCAGGATCACCTCTGCCTCACAGCAGGGACGCAGATGCGTCCCTGGCAACTCCCCGCCACTGTTCTTCCCCTCAGGCACCCCTTTCTCCTTCCCTGACCCACACCCCAGCACCCAGCGGAGCAAGCCCTGGCCTTGGTCACTGACCGGGATGTTGTATCTGGTGCGGTAGAGTGTCCTCATGGCCACGCTGGGGCCACACAGGCAGAACTCATTCATGTCCCCGGCCACCTGGCACCCCAGGCAGCTGAAGCAGAAGGCTCCACAAATACCTGCGGGACAGCGAGAGACGCGCTTGGCTGAGGGGCGCAAAGAAAGAAGGAAGTGGGGAACGTTGTCTGGAGACACGGAGATGTGGCTCTTGACCTCAGATGAGAGCTGCGCCCCTGCTGGTACCCACAAGAGTGGGGTTTGCAGCAGGGGAGATGCAGCAGCAGGAACGGGGGAAACAGCAGAAATGCAGCGTGAGCTAGCACCAGGAACAAGTGGTTCGTATGTACTCACACACGCCCAAGTCGGAGCAGCAGTCCAGCAGCCCTGTCTGCCACTCGCCTGCCCGCGGAGCAGCCAGAAACTGGGGCTGGACTGTGACCACATGGTGAGAGGCCATTGCCAGCATGGGGTCAGGTCCCTCCAGGCAGTTTGCGGTCTGGAAGGAAAAGCCATCAGAGAAAGATGCTGCAGGTGTTTCTGAAGTGGGTGTCCTGCTCAGGCTGCTGCACTCAATGACAGCCCCTGAGGGCTCCCCACTGCCAGGACACCGCCATCCCCACCACAAAGTGGGGGGCACAGCTCTGCCAGGAGCTGCTGCTGTCCACAGCAAAGCCCTCCCCAAAACCAGCACCCCACCAACGGCAGCAGCACCTCATCCCCCCCGCCTATGCAAATAAAAGGCCTCTGTAAAAACAGGGGTCCTTCTGCTTCAGAGCCTCAAGGCTCCAACACTCCAAGCCTGCCTTTTACCCCCAGTTCATCTTTCAACATTATCTGCTTAAAATCGTAATTTTTTTTTTAAACTTTGCAGTGTCCCAAAGCTCCTATAGCTCAGTTCTAGCTTTGTCACCTCTCAATAATCACCTTTATCTTTGCTTTGCTCCCTGAGCATCTCAGCCTTTTTGCCTCCCTCTCTCCCTCTTCTTCACTTGCTTTCTTAGCACACTTGAAGGCAGTGGGTTTTCCTTGGCCCTTTCCATCACCCGAAGCCCAGTCATCAGTTCTCATTTCCCCTCCACTTGCCTGTCTGTGCCAGTGCCTTGTCCTCATCCTCATCTTCCTCTGTTCCCTGGGGCCACCATGGCTCCTGGCACCCTGCTCCTGCCCATCCTTCCCCAGCAAGGGGCTGCAGCCTCTGAGAGCACCAGAGTTCCCACTCCACACCACCAAATCCCCAAACCTACCTGACCCTTGTAACAATCCCACCTCCATCTGTGATGCCTTCCCTCCCCACTGCCCCCTGCAAGGCATGGTGCCACCCTCTGCCATTCTCACTTCAGCTTTAATTAATAAAAAAAATAAAATAAAAGAGAGGATGCTCCCTTAAGAAGTCCCATAGAGACACACTCACTGCCCCGTGCCTGAGCTAGGTGCTGCTCTGTTAAGCAGCATGGAGACGAGATGCAAAGGCTCCCATGCTCTTAACAGCTACGAGGGCTCACTCCCGCCCCCAGCCCACTGCACAGATCCTCAGCAAAGAAGCCATGAGCGGGAAAGCAGACTGAGCTCCAGGCACCATCACGGAGGGCTGCGGCTCCTTTGCTCGGGAAGGGTCCCAGGGCAGTTCCCCGGGAAGGTCCTCTCCAGCCCCTGCGTCCCCGCATGGCCCACGGGCATTTCCACGATGGGCATTAGGGGTGTCGAACAAAGCACCTTCAAACAGTTTGTGTCCCGCCTGCCCCTGCCCGGCTTCGTCACGTTTGTCCTGCCGGGGTGATGGCTGGGGTATCCCCTGAGCAGCCCTCTCCTCCCAGCCCTTGTGTGACAAGAGAGCACCTGAGTTTTGGGACACCAGGAGGAGCAAATAGAAGAACAGGGGAAGCATTCATGTTTTGAAGCATGGGATTAATCTCTGTAAACTCTGTTAAAACACTATAAAGTGGCCAGGATTGTTTCCACATCAGAATTACACATATGCACAGAACTTAACAAGACTACAGGGGAATAAATATGCTATGCCCAGCACTCAGATGATGCCATCAAGCCCATTATCCACTTCTGACACCAGAGAGAGACAGGCCGTGGCATTGCATTTGTGTTGACTGTTGTCACCAGGCGGCAAAGGAGACAGTGGCTTTGCCAGCAGCTCCTGCAGCTCCCGTTTACACACTGGCCTGGACACAACTCTGCTGTCAGACACAGCATGTTGCTCTATGGCTGGCGCTTTGTCCCCTGGCAGTACACGGAGAAGCAAAGGTATGCTGAATTACATCACAAGAGGGAAGAAAGCTCGTGAGAATTCTCTGCGTGATTTGCTCATGGCTTCTGGCAGCTTTCTGCTGGCACAGAAGCGTGGCTGGGCTGACCCTATCTGCAACACCAGTATCTGCTCCAATTGGGTGACAAGTGGCCTTGGGTGACAAGTGGCCTTGAAGGACAAACTGGGACCTGGTGGGATTGCTTCAGTCACACTGGCCCCCACCAAGAGTTTAAAAACAAGGGTATTCTCCTGCTGCTACTGAACAGGGCTGTTGAGTAGTAAAAATGCTGCTGTGCCCTCCCTGGGGCAAGTCACCCGGCTGTTGGCAGGGACCCCACCACCCATGGGTGCAGCAGGGGCCATGGCGCCCATTGTCCCTCGTTGGACATCTCCTGCCCCTGCCCTTGCCCTGGCTGGCTGTCACTTCTTGTTCATGCACGAGGTCCCAGGTAGTTCCTGCCACCTCTGCAGCCAAAGTAACACCTCCTGGCAGGCCAAAACAACAGCCCCAGACCTGTCACAGGACAATTTATGACAAAGCAGGGGCCAGGAGGGGCAGGGGAGGGGACAGGCCGCGGGCGGGCCATGCAGTGGGGATGCCAGGCAGTGACAGGGACTCCCAGCAGCAGGCAGGACAGCAGGGACCACAGGCAGAAGCATGCACGGGAGCAGCAGAAGGTTTAGGGGCAAAGGAGGTGCTTCCCCCACCATCAGATAACAAGATTAACAGCACCACATCGTGAAAATGCAGGCGGGCGGTGCCCATGGCCACACGGAAACCATGTCCTTGGCAGGCAGGGCTGATCGTGGACTTTCCCTGCCTCTCCCCAGGTGTGAGCACACCGTGTCCCTGCGTGGAGGGAGGCTGCAGTGCAGAGCTGGCAGCAGCTCAGAGAAGATTCCACCACACCTTCATCCTCTAAGAGGTGGCCCAGGCACAGCACACACAACACATCACCCCCAATGCCCCCAAATCTATAGCTGCATGGCACCATCTGTGGTGTTGGAACAGCTGACGGGAACAAAACGGATCCTGAGGTGCACACAGCCACACTTCACTGATAACCAAGGTCATAAAGCAGCGTTTTGCTAAATATAGGCACAGGTGTGTGTGCATAAACAAACTATACAATGCAAAAAAATGCTGTCCTTTAACACTGCTGCCCATGCTGTTGAGGAGCCTGTCAGCAGCACCCAACACCTTCTGGTTCAGCTCTGAAGTAGCTTTTCCAGGTAGAAAACCTCACTTCTGTTTCCACCCGATACAGAGAAATGTCTGCTTTCCTTGTAAATGATTTACTTATAAAAAGATATGATGATTTCTGAACATTGCCTAAGAATCCTGCCTTGTCCAGATAGTTTGGGGATTGGCTGTGATAAGAAAGTAGCAGGTAGCCCTGGGCTATGAATTAATAAGACAACTCACTGGTAGCAGACTCAAAGCTCTTAATGGGCACCTATCCAAAGCCCTCAACAGGGACTTGGAGATGCTCTCTAGGGAGGATGATCTCGCCGATTTAGGAGGAAGACACCTGGACTTTTCTTCACAAGTCATGCCCTGGAAAGAGCAGACACCATGAAGAAGACTACGTCCTTCTGCCCTTGACCACCAAAGACCCTCATCCTATTTCTACTACGCGTGCTCAAGACTGTGAAATTGAGTTCCAAGAAATAATTACAATAATCACACATATCCCCCAAACTAAATGTAATAACCCAGCCTTTCCTAATGAATATGTATGCTTTGGTGTAATAAATATTTTACTACTGGCCAGAGACAGTGTGCAAGCTTTGCGGAGATATCCCCTTGCACCCTGGCCGGAATAAATGAACCTGCTTTAGAACTCTGAGTTGTAGAGTTTGTTTCCGCACATCAACACCTTCCCCCTCCCCTGCGACACCGCTTCCACAGATCAGTTTCGTAGTTGTATACCACAGCTCTTGCCCAAGTAAAGCCAAGCCGTACATACCTTCTGAGTCGCCCTTGTCCCTGGAGACGTGTGTCCTTTTTCCTCGTTCCTTTATATGCTCTGGGTGCTCCCTAGCAAACGACCTCTGCTCCCTCGGGCCAACAGAGCAGGTGCCGGCTTAGGTGCTGCTTTGTGCAATTGCAGCTTTTGTCGCTGCAAGCTCGTTGCTGCTTCTGGCAGGCTCCTGCCACCAACCCCCCACCTTTGCCCAGCCCAGCACCCCGCAGGCCCAGGCTCGATGGGACACACAGCTTTTGATAGCAGCTTTCAGAGAAGGGCGGTTTGCGGTCTGGCTCCTGCGCTGCCTTAAGCTGTATGTACCGGGAGGTGCAGCGCCTTTCCTTCTTTAAGCCCGAGCACGGAATCACAGAATCAACCAGGTCGGAAAAGCCCTTGAAGCTCCTCCAGCCCAACCATGAACCTCACCCTGACCGTTCCCAACTCCCCCAGATCCCTCAGCTGCTCCCCAGCAGACCTGTGCTCCAGACCCTGCACCAGCTCCATTGCTCTTCTCTGGACACGCTCAAGTCATTCTTTTTGGGGTGAGGGGGCCCAAAACTGAACCCACTCATTGAGGGGCGGCCTCACCAGTGCCGAACACAGGGCTCAGATCCCTTCCCTGTTCCAAGCAAAGTCGCTTTTCCAAATTTTACAACTTGGATGAGCGACGCTTACTGCTCCTGTGTGTTCCACATCCTTTCTAAAAGTGAGCAAATAACAAAATACTAGTGAAAATTTTCCTCTGTCGTGGGCACAGGGAAATCTCAGCTGCACCGGGGGCTGCCTGGTATGGATGGAATGGGAGAAGGATGGGTGCTCTCAGGCAGTGCAAGAGACACACACACACACGCAGGAAGCAAAATTCTGCTGTTTATTCATGGTATTACTCAGGGAAGGGGGAACCAACCATTACCAAGGCGAACCCCCTCACGGTGCGTTTCCCACCAGCCAGGGCAGCAGCGGCTCCTGTCCACGGCAGCTCTGCAAGGCGCAGTGAGGCCGCAGCATCTGCAATGGGACGGGAGAGGAGGGTCAGGGAGCAGGGCTGTGCCTCCCCGCCCCGTCTGTGCCCCCCAGCCCTGCGTGAGCTTCCCAGAGACATTTTGCTGCAGGACAGGTCATTCTTGTCACCTGTCCACGGCCATTTCCCCACTGCAGCCACCCTACATCTTAGGTCAGGCATCGGCAGGACAGACTCCGCGAAGCTGCTCGGCTGCGTGAGGCAGCGGCTTTATAGAGCCCAGCTCACCAGAATATGCCCAGCTCCTTCCTCCGCTTGATGTCTCTCTTCAGCTGGCAAACGGAACACATGAGGCACCACGTGGTGGTACAGAAGTCAGAGCAGATGGATCCCTGTTAGGAAGAAATTGGTTAAGGATGTAGGCTATCCAAAAGCCATGTTTTGGCCAAGAAGAGGTTAATCACATTTCGGGTAGCAAGCCCTTTGTTTCCTGGCTGGCTGCAGCATCCCGTTAGGAAGCAGGACTGGCGAACCACCCCAACAGTGGGAAGGCACGAAGGAGTCCTTCCTGCAGGCTGCAGACTTACCTTCCAGATTCTGTGGTTAAGACTGGGGGAAAAACATGCAGAGAAAAAGAGAATTTGGGCAAACTGGACTTGGGCCACTATGGTTTGCACTGGGGACAGCACAAACCCCCGGTAGGAAGAAACCATTTCACATATGCACACCTTTCTCCTGCTTCTGATTATGGATGTTTATCTGGGCAACTGACAATCTGTTCTTTAGTCTGACCATGATTATCTCAGATCCTTCCCATTTTTCAAAGATTGGGGGTGGCATGGGGAAGCAGCAGCTGAGGTTCTGCTAGGCGCTGTGGTTGGTGGCAGCTGAGTGCAGGACATGTGTCCCCGGTAAAGGATGCTGGGAGGGAGCTGTGACCAATTAATGCACGTTGTTGGACCCCAGCGCAAGGAACAACATGGCCAAGGGTGTCCCAACCCCTGTCCCGTGCTCCTGGCATCATGCAGGATACACAAGTGAAAGAAAAGGGTGAGCGGGGAGTGCTGCTGCCCCGTGCTCATCACTGATGTGCAGAGAGAGGGACCTCGGTGGCACCTTGCCTTTCAGGCTTGCAGCACGCTGAGGGGGCAGGTTAACCACTGACCGGGATGTTGTATCTGGTGCGGTAGAGCGTCCTCATGGCCACGCTGGTCCCACACAGGCAGCACTCATTCATGTCCCCAGCCACTTGGCAGGCAAGGCAGGGGAAGCAGAACACCCCACAGCAGCCTGGCAGGGGGAGAAGCACAGTGGCGGGTGAGGCTCAGCCTGCCCGCCCAGCACCACCGGCATCGGGGCAGGAACGGGGGAGGACCAAGCTCCACGTCTGCAGCTATCACACCACCAACCCAAGCAGCAGGGGCGAGGAAACGTCCTGCGAGGGCGTGGGACGCTGCTGAGGGCTGGGGCTGCAGGAGGCACTCACAGACACCGCAGTCGCTGCAGCAGTCCATCAGCCCCGTTTGCCACATGTTCCTGGAGGCACTGGCCACGCCGCCCTGCGGCTGGACTGTCACGACGGTTGTGACAGCCATTTCTGGTTGCTCTTCTGAAAGAGACAACAGGGCAAGGGGATGGTCAGGGGAAGAACTGTGGTGAGGCTGATCCCCCAGCCGAGCTGGTTGCCACTGCTCTTCAGCAGGAGGCAGTCTTTCACCCAGCTCCCTCAATGCCACTGGACGTGACAAAGCCTAACCATATCTTACCTGCATTTGTGTTGTTCCAAGGTTTTTGCACTTTCTGCCATTTTATCCAGCCTTCAAAATAGCATCAGACCACTAATGTTCCCCACTCCACCCCAGAAAGCTGGTGCTTAGACCCAGTTCACCCATTTCCCTTGTGCCAAGCAGGGCTGGGCAGTGAACCTAGGCTAAAGCCAGTGACTCGGGCATTTTGGTTGTTGAACTCAGCATTTGACACAAAAGTCGCTTTGGCACAGGTACAAAGCATGCGGGAAGCAGCTATGCTCCCACATTTCTTCATAATGAAACCAGGCTCCACGCAGGAGATACACCGCAGAAAACTAGTATCTCCGGTTTCTTGTGACAGAGAGCCAGAAAGGCAGAAACTCAATCCTGTGTCCAAAGTCCAAACCCAAGTCCTTGCCTCCCTGCAGTTAAAAGAGCAAGTAAACCTTAAGAATCAGTAAGCCTCAGGTCTAATAAAACCAAAAGACTCTGTGTTCTTATTCTCCCAGAAATAGGAAGAGTAATTGTGTGTATTTGTCTAGGGAGAATTTTTATGTATAAGACTGCACCAAAACAGTTAAAAGAGCAAGTAAATCTTAAAACCCAGTAAGACTCAGGTCTAATAAAACTAAAAATTTCTGTGTTCCTATTCTCCCAGCAATAGGAAGAGTAATTTTGTTTATTTGTCTAGGGAGAATTTTTGTGTAAAAGACAGCACCAAAACACTCTCAGATAAAAATTAAAAGCAAGTTTTGCCTCAAGGCCAGGTTATTCTAGTTATGCACAAAGAGACGAAAGGGGAAGAAGAACAAACAAAAAAAACCCACCACACGATAAACTGCTTGCTGAGTTAAGACTTTTTGTGACAAATTGGGTTGGTTTTCTTTTTTCTTTTTAGAAAATTTTTAGAAATAGCAGCTTGGCAATGGCAGAGCCATACTGCTGAGCAGGCAGGCTGCTCCCCACCCAGTTTCTGAGCTCAGAAGAGTAACTGAAGTGGGCTATGCTGGGCACGGGGAGTGGGGGCATCCTCCCTCGACATCCTTTGGAACAAGGACGGCTCCTCCAGAATTCCCACTCCTGGCAGCACTGGGCAGCCTGCAAACCCAGTGGGAACGCAGCCAGAATCAGTGTCAGGGAAGTGTCCAGAGGGAAACTGTGAGCCTGCACTGCCTCTCCCCACCCACCGCAGATTTACCACTGATTGGTAAATCTCACTACTTTCTCCACTTTTACAAACACACAGTATTCTGCATACAAGTGTTAATCACGTATTATTCTCTCAGCTGCAGACGTTCATGAAGAGATTGCAACATTAAGCTGCTCTTGCCACCAAGAGCACACCCCGTTGAAAAGGGTAGCAAATGCTCATGGAGACCCGGCAGCAACAGAGCAAAGCAACGACGTCCGAGTTTCTGGCAGGACAACAGCTACATCCAGCACATCCTCAGAGCCTGCCGGAGAACACATGCCACGAAGCATCCCTGCTAAGAGGAATTTGGGCTTGAGCACCCATGCAGGCAAAAAGAGAGCCTGATTTCAACAGAGAGCCAAGTCCTAGCCAGAGTCCTTTAACGCAGTGCTACAATTCTGTTAGCAGGAGAAAACAGCAAAGAAATAACCTCTCCATAATCCAGCTTTTGTGCAAAGCTTTTTAAAAAGCCCCCCCCCCCCAGTAGGATTTGCCATATATTTTGCTTTAAATTATGTGCTGGGCAGTAAAAATTGAAAAAAAAAAAAAAATCCTTCTGCACTATTATCCTGCTCTCCCAGGCTAACAAGGTCTTACTATTTCCAGGCTTTAAGAGAACCAACCTTGTGGTGAGCAGCCTCTGTCAGCGCAGCCTTCCTTGCCAGCGGGACCCTGCACAGCGTGGCTCTGAGGAAGATGAAACTAAATTTTGGAGGCTCTTACTGGCACAATTGTGGGAGGTAACTGGAGGGGGAAGTCAGAAGCTGTGCATTCTCACAATGACTACAGGATTAACACACATGCAGAACACAATTATTTTTTTTTCCCCCTCCCAGAATGAAATCAGAGACTGCTATTCATCTTTTTAACAAAAGGTTGCATGGATATTGTCTTATTCACTGAACTGTGAGTGCATGTGTTTGTTGTTTGGGGGAGAAGCTTTGAATAATGTGCATCCCTTGGGATGGACGTTTTTGCAACTTTTTTCCCCCCAGAGAAAAAGCATACTTCTTGGATTTCAGGCCAGACTAAATGAAGAGCACCTCAGGGTGCTCCACTCCGAGCTTTTCCCTCTCCTCAAGGAAAATGGCTTTGGGTTAAGGGGTTGCGCAGACCTGCTTGCTTTCACAACCAGGCTTGGGCAACGGTGGCTGGGCAGCCTGGAGGCTAAAGGGGGCTATGACAGGGGCTCCTGGATGGCCCAAATGTCCCTGTGGTGCCCAGAACAACCCCTGCCCCAGCCCGCTGTTGGGGGCAAAATAGGACACTCAAAGGCAGCAACAGGTAAACTCGTCTGCATCAGGGGGTGGCTCCCTGAGGACCAGCACCCTGTGCCACAACACTGTGATGGGGGAAGTCCCAGCCATTCCCCTCCACTTTCATCCAGCCCCAGATAAAGGGGCAGCAGGACCGAGGGTACTTTTACTTCTCTCTTCCATGTGCAGTGAGCGTGCTGCCTCCTCCTTAGGCATGCATTTGGGTTTTCATTTCTGAATTAGTAAATACAACCCACGTGGAGACTTTCTATAAAAATTAGGCTGATTCCCTAAGTGCTTGTTGCAAGCCATGTAGCCCAGCTGTAGCAAAATTAACTGAGTCCTTACTGCACATGCATCCATTTCTCTCTCTGCGATACTAATATTATTTCTTCACTAACATGCCACAAACATTTAACCACTCATGCCCTGCAGGAGTCACTAACCATTTTGGATGCACCTCCTTGTTTCATAGAGAAGCTGTGACACCAGGATGGCAGTTTTTGTTTCCCAGCATGATCCACAGAGTTTACAGAGAGCACAGAATGGGTCTGAGCATCACAAGATCTGCCAATGGCACGGCGTGTTCCCCTTCTCCCTCACCGTTTTCAAGAACTGGGAAAGGAAAAGTTCTGGTTAAACTGCAACTCACCAGCTTTGTTGACAGGTCAGGATTTATGGTGCATTAAGTGGAGTCTTTTACCAATAGTGCTGCTGAGATAACTGTGAGCCCTGCCCTGAAATGCTTCCACTGGACTTCCAACATCACCGAGTTTAACTGCAGCTGTCCCTGCTTTAGAATGGGGCTGCCTTGCTGACCCCTGCCTGGATCATACACAGTTTTGGTTTAGTTGGGTTGTTTGTTTGGTTTTTTTTCAAAAACATTACAAGAAGTTGTGGGAACTCAAGTTTGCAAAAAGCTGTAGTTCAGCTTTCTAGAAGAGGAGACACCTGACATCCTGCTGGCAGGGTGGGCTGGGATCATGCAAAATGCCAGTTAGCCTGGGAGTCTGCTGGGGAGGGAGGGAAATGGGAAGCTGAAATGCACCAACATTCAAAGAAAAGCCCATCAGCAGCATTTCAAGGATTTTAACGGTCTGTCCACTATTCAGAGCTGGGGTGACTGGCACTGCCAGAGCAACCAGGCCCTGCAAGTGCTTTTCTTCCCCAGAAAAGCAGCACGCTTCTACCTGCAGTCCTGCTGTACCAAAGCCCTTTGTCAGCCCTGAGCAAACACCACCATCAACACCTACCTCAGCAGATCAGGTGCCCCTTACCCAGCCTTTCAATCAGGCAAAAAACCCTGCAAAAATCTCACCCAGTGAAATCAAAACACAAACTCCTGAAACTTACAGCAAGAGCACCACCCTCACCCAGCGCCAGCCCGGAGCACCCCTTGCCTCCGGTTGCAGGTGATACAGAGAAATAATGACTCATTTTGAGATTTATTCACTTATAGAAAACTGCTTAGAAACTTATTTACTTAGTTATAGTAAGTTACAGTATTACTTATAGTATTTTTTAACACTGCTAAGAATCCTGCTTGCCCAGACTGTTCTGTGGAATTTTGCCCAGGACTACTGTGTCCATCAAAACAAAGCAGTTCATGTGAAAATCTACCAAGGACTACGATGTTCAGCAAAATACTATGGTTTTGTCCTTGAGGAACAGGTGGCTCTAACCAGTTGGAGTGTTGGTAATGAGTAAAGATAGCCATATACGAATGGTAGAAGTTCTATTGGTTCCCTTAGATAAACTGTCTGAAAAACACTCTTGTGATGCAAGAAACTGGCCAAGAGACTCTGCGCATGCTCCAGGGAAAAAAAACAAGGTGAGAAAGACTACGAGCCTTCCTCCCAAAGCCCCCTGAAGACGCCCCCCCAGAAGGCAATGGGCAGGTGCAAAGATGACACAAACTGCTGACATCAGCCTTTCTAACTAACCCAGCCTCACTCCTGCACATGGATGCTTGTGTGATGTAACCCAGTGAATATGGATATCCACACTCTGTCAGTTTTTGATAAAATGTGCCGTGGGGGTGCAAGCTTTGTGGAGAGATCCCCTTGCACCCTAGCACTGGAGTAAACATCCCTGCTGTGTGACTCTATTCGAATTGTAGAGTCTTTTTTCCGCGAATCACAGGTGCTGTGGTTTCTGGCCAGAGCTCACCACAGTGACTGGCTGGGACTCTGCCGATGGCTGGTGGCCACAGGCCCCTTGACAGGCAGCTTCTGCGGGTGGGTGAAGTGGCACTGTGGGAAGAGAGGCAGCTGGCTGCCAAGCACACCTCTCAGCCACGGCACGACCATGAGAGCAGAACATCTCCATAGCAAGGAAAAATGGAAACGTGCTCAGGAAAGCACATCTGTAATGCCTTCTCCCATGTGGTGAGAATAAGATATAACTTCCAATC